TTTGTGCACAGAATCTGAGAGAAATAAGCTTTTTGTGTGTATGGTACATTTCGGGGATCTTTTATTTCAGCTCATGAAACACTTTACATGTTGCGTTTATATTTTTGTTCAGTATAAATTACACATTTGCGAATCGTACTTGCAACCACGAATCTCAATGTGTGACCAAGAAATTCAAAATACAAACTCACATAGATCTGTCATTATAATCCCATAATGATGGTCCTCTGTAGCTCAACTGGTAGAGCACGGCGCTAGTAACGCCAGGGTAGTGGGTTCGATCCCCGGGACCACCCATACACAAAAATGTATGCACGCATGACTGTAAGTCGCTTTGGATAAAAGCGTCTGCTAAATGGCATATTATTATTATTATTAATGATCTCTGTCACCTAATCTAAAAACATGCCTATATGAATAACCAGACACTGATGATTTATGGTTGATGAGAAGCACATTTATTTATTGATAATAATGTGGGGATATTTATCATGTGTAATATATTACCTGAATGCGTTTGTATACCTTTTCATTAATTTATTGAAGTTTGTCAATTAGGTAATTAGTAGGGTTTGTGATTCATTCTGGGTAATTGTGTCGCTACAAAAAGCATGACCTTGCTTTGTTTGAGAGACAGACAAGACAGATGCTGCCGGGTTTAAAGGCATGATTGAAGCCAGCGTTTTATTTTGTTAGTGCTCTATGTTATTCAGTTCAGTTTATTAGGCTTAACTTTTGTTAATCGTCCTATTTGATTTTGTAAATAATTGTACAGTTCGCCGGTTCTTAATCCTCACTTTGCAAATAAAAAGCCTCACACTTACCACGTTTCCATCCAACCATTTCATGCAAATGAATTACCTGACACATGTAAAAAGTCAGGACCGGGCTGATGGAAACATGAATTGCGGGTACAATTGTATAAATGCCGACAGACAATTTGTTCGTTCGAAATGGTAAAAATAATTATGCAAGAAATGGCGGTGGAAATGCATTCATGCGCAAATATTGATATAACCATAATGTCGAAGTAAACTTGGAGTCACGCGATTTGTTGTGTGGTCCTCCCAGTCCGACTCAGGAAAGCATACAATTTAGGCCTATTCGGTTACAGATGAACGTGCAAGGTGACGAGCTTGATGCTCCTTTCCAATAAATATTGAGGGTCTTATTTTGGTGACATGATGATCGATGCTTGGCTGCCGTTTGACAAATACAAATAATATCGCGCATATCCATAATTATCTCGGCAGGTAGCCTACCCACACTGTATCTGCGAACTGTTGGCTAGAGCACATGTGCCAAGACCAGAGTGGGCACATTTGCTATGTAAAGCAACAGTTATTGTGCCAAAACCATCAGTAGAGTTAAAATTGTGATGGAAACTCATTTAACTTGTATTTTTCATTCGGTACATGGGAATTTAATGGCAAAAGTTATCTTTATGTGCACGACGTCATCACGCACAGCCTTTTATCCACAACAAGTAGATAAGTAAGTTTGATGTTAACATACAATATCTGGTGGGAAAATGTGCATATTGTTTCATGCAGATTTGAGAATATTCGCATGAAAATCTGTAGCAAATTAGATGGAACCCTAGCTACTAGCAAGACAAATCACATCTTCCTCGTATGCCTCCTCACTGTTAAAATCCTACCGCATGGCCAACCTCACAATGACTTTATTCGCATAAAAACTGTGGATGGACAAGTGGTTAATAATATGAAAAATGGAATAAACACAGGATCCTGAAATACATGTACCAACAGTCACAACATTGATGGAACGGATAATAAAACATAAGTGTCTTTGGGGTTAAGATCACATCTTCACATGGCCCGGTCTGTCTATAGTGCCATTCTACAGCCACCCGAACTCCCATAACCAAGCACAGACCGAACATGACTATACTTTTGAAAGCCAACACATACTAAACCCCTAAACTGACCACAGCAATGAACTCAACCATTATTTTGAATGCCACCACTTACAGAACCCCCAGAAGGCTACCGACCACAGCAACGAACTTGACCATTCCTTTTTATTAGTATATAAAATCATCTAAAAACCATCTTGTTCTATGTCCTGATTCTAAAGAGTGTAAAATGACTCATGCTAACTTCTTTCAGGTTCAGTCTTTTACAGTGCCTTCAGAAAGTATTCACACCCCCTACTCTACCCCATAATGGAATTTTTACAAATGAAATAAAATGAAAAGCTGAAATGTCTTGAATCAATAAGTATTCAACCCCTGTGTTATGGCAACCCTAAATAAGGTCAAGAGTAGAAATGTGCTTAACAAGTCACATAATAAGTTGCATGGACTACCTCGTCTCTGTACCCCACACATACAATTATCTGTAAGGTCCCACAGTCGAGCAGTGAATTTCAGATTCAACCACAAAGACCAGGGAGGTTTTCCAATGCCTCGCAAACAAGGGCACCTATTGTTAAAAAAGCAGACATTGAATATCCCTTTGAGCATGGTGAAGTTATAAATTACACTTCGGATGGTGTATCAATACACCCAGTCACTACAAATATACAGGCGTCCTTCCTAACTCAGTTGCCGGAAAGGAAGGAAACCGCTCAGGGATTTCACCATGATGCCAATGGTGACTTTAAAACAGTTAAGAGTTTAATGGCTGATATGAGAAAACTGAGGATGGATCAGCAACATTGTAGTTACTCCACAGTGCTAACCTAATTGACAGAGTGAAAAGAAGGAAGCCTGTACTTGTTTGCAACAAGGTACAAAAGTAAACTTTTTGTTCTGAATACAAAGTGTTATGTTTGGGATTAATCCAATACATTACTTAGTACCACTCTCCATCATTTCAAGAATAATGGTGGCTGCATCATGTTATGGGTATGCTTGTACTTGTTAAGGACTGGGGAGTTTTTCAGGATAAAGAAATAATCGGAATGGAGCTAAGCACAGGCAAAATCCTAGAGAAAAACCTGGTTCAGTCTGCTTTCCACCAGACACTGGGGGATTAATTCATCTTGCAGCAGGACAATAACCTAAAAAGCAAGGCTTACCAAGACAACATAAATTGCTCCGGAGTGGCCTAGTTACAGTTTTGATTTAAATCGGCTTGTAAGCCTCCCGAGTGGCGCAGTGGTCTAAGGCACTGTATCGCAGTGCTTGAGGCGTCACTACAGACCCGGTTTGTTCCCAGGCTGTCACACCAGCCGTGACCGGGAGTCCCATAAGGCGGCGCACAATTGGCCCAGTGTCGTCCGGGTTAGGGGAGGGTTTGGCCGGGGTGGCTTTACTTGGCTCATCGTGCTCTAGCGACTCCTTGTGGCGGGCCAGGGTGCCTGCAGGCTGACCTCGTCGTCAGTTGAACAGTGTTTTCTCCGACACTTTGGTGCGGCTGACTTCCGGGTTAAGCGGGCAGGAGTTAAGAAGAGCGGTTAGGCGGGTCATGTTTCGGAGGACGCATGACTCAACCTTCGCCTCTCCTTAGCCCTTTGTTAAGTTGCAGCAATGAGACAAGATCGTAATTGGATCACAATTGGATATCACAAAATTGGGGAGAAAAAAGCGGGGTAAAAAAATAACATTAATAAATTGGCTCGTAAATCTATGGCAAGACTTGAAAACGGTTGTAATCGTTAAGGACTGGGGAGTTTTTCAGGATAAAAAAAAGAATCGGAATGGAGCTAAGCACAGGCAAAATCCTAGAGGAAAACCTGGTTCAGTCTGCTTTCCACCAGACACTGGGGGATTAATTCATCTTGCAGCAGGACAATAACCTAAAAAGCAAGGCTTACCAAGACAACATAGATTGCTCCGGAGTGGCCTAGTTACAGTTTTGATTTAAATCGGCTTGTAAGCCTCCCGAGTGGCGCAGTGGTCTAAGGCACTGCATCGCAGTGCTTGAGGCGTCACTACAGACCCGGTTTGTTCCCAGGCTGTCACACCAGCCGTGACCAGGAGTCCCATAAGGCGGCGCACAATTGGCCCAGTGTCGTCCGGGTTAGGGGAGGGTTTGGCCGGGGTGGCTTTACTTGGCTCATCGTGCTCTAGCGACTCCTTGTGGCGGGCCAGGGTGCCTGCAGGCTGACCTCGTCGTCAGTTGAACAGTGTTTTCTCCGACACTTTGGTGCGGCTGGCTTCCGGGTTAAGCGGGCAGGAGTTAAGAAGAGCGGTTAGACGGGTCATGTTTCGCAATAGGATATCACAAAATTGGGGAGAAAAAAGTGGGGTAAAAAAATTACATTAATAAATCGGCTCGTAAATCTATGGCAAGACTTGAAAACGGTTGTAATCGTTAAGGACTGGGGAGTTTTTCAGGATAAAAAAAAGAATCGGAATGGAGCTAAGCACAGGCAAAATCCTAGAGGAAAACCTGGTTCAGTCTGCTTTCCACCAGACACTGGGTGATTAATTCATCTTGCAGCAGGAGAATAACCTAAAACACAAGGTTAGACAAACACAAGTTTGTCTAGTATTGATCAACAACCAATTTGACAGAGCTTGAAGAATTATGAAAATAATAATGGGCAAATGTTGCACAATCCAGGTATGTAAAGCACTTAGAGACTTAACCAGAAAGACGCTCAGCTGTAATTGCTGCCAAAAGGTGATTCTAACATGTATTGACTAAGGGGGTTGAATACTTATCTAATCAAGATATATTAGTGTTCTCTGTAATACAACTAGCCACTTAGGAATTTTATGAAGTTGGCATTAGCTAGCCCAATCTCCCAACCTCATAACTAGCTACCAAGAAGCCATTTCAGGCTATCAATCAAGTTAGAGTAGCTAGCTTTTCTATCTTAGCTGACAGGCCTGCTATCGAAATGTCACATACTATAAAACCAAAAAAAATTGCATACCGAAAATGCCTACTATTGAGATCGCAAGTACGGGTATTCGGACACGGACAGTGACAGAAAAGTACAGTATATAATTCTTCACAAAATGTGAACAGAACTCCATACGCCACCCTGCTGACAACATCAAACAGCCTCTATAGACTCTGATGTCAGGAGGACTTCGAGTTGGGTATCAGCCAGACTAATTTCTGCCCTGTGTGAATTCTCATATGCTCAGTCAGGTTTCCCATCCGGATGAAGCATTTGCCGCAATCTTTGCACTGAAATGGTTTCTCCCCAATGTGAACTGATTTCTCCCCAGTGTGAATTGATTTCTCCCCAGTATGAATTCTCTGATGTATTTTTAAATTGCTCGTTTTCAGAAAATATTTACTGCATACAGGACACCTGTGTTGTCTCTCCCCTGTGTGATCCTTCAATTGCACATTCAGCTCACTGGCTTTACGGACCTGGGTAGAGATCTGGGAGCTTTGTCCTTTCTTTGTCTTTGTTCTCTTTGATTTGTGTGGCTTTAAACCTGACAGTAGTCCTCCACTGTCCACCCCATTGTCACTTTCACTGTTCCCAATATGAGCTGCAGAACAGTCTGGATGTACTGCAGAGAGGGGTTGAGATTCACTTGTTGGTTCTGATACACTGTAGCCCTCACCATTAGGTTCTGTTTTGATGTCTTGTTCAATTGTTTTGGTGGGAAGAAAGTCCCTCTCTCTGTTCTCCATAGTCTGGGTTTGGTAAATATATAAGGGCTGAGGTGGGTCCTGATCACAGTCACTTTTTACACAGGGAAGAGTGAATATGAACTCTTTGATATCAGACTCCAGCCCTTCAAGCTGCTCTTCCTCACGACTTGTCCTAAACTCCTCCTGTTCCTCTTTAATCTGTGTGGGCTCTGGGTTGCCCTGGCCCAGACTGGGGCTCCAGTCCTGCTGCTCAGGAGGAACGTCTTCAGGGACAGGGAGAGTGAGCTGCTGGGAGTCTGAAGAGGAGAACAGGGTATCAGTTAGATTTTGTTTCCAGTTCTATGTGGCCTTGAGTCCAACTATTAGATTTACGACAGTAAACTACAATTGGAATGTTACATTTCATACGTTTTAAATAGTTGTAACGTTACAGATAAATAATTGAATGAATCGACTGTTTAGTGTCAGTGGCCTGGCTAGGTGGTTCAATCAGATTGTTCTAGCGGGGTTATCGCTACTCACTACTAACCTGCAATATGTAACTTTATTTCGGGTTTGAATGCCAAATCCAGCAGCCTTCGTAGACGATCGATTTCCTCCTTTGAACGGGAGATTTCTTCCTGGTACTCTGATACCGTTTTTTCCACAGCAGCCACTGTTGGTAATCGCTCGTTTAGAAAAACCTGCAACAGCTGCATTTTAGACATTTTAAAGGGAAAGGGGCTAGATGTATTGTTTTGCTGCTAACGTTACGTCTCTGATGGTAGCAAGCATCCCCTTCCGAGGTAAACAATGCGAACGCTTCCTAGTCTTTGAATTCGTACCTGCACGAGGTAAAATTGTACCTACCAAGCCAGCGAGGCAAGGTAAAACATCACAAATAGAGCTACAGTGCATTCGGAAAGTATTCGGACCCCTTGACTTTTTCCACATTTTGTTACGTTACAGCCTTATTCTAAAATGGATAAAATAAAAACAATTCCTCATCAATCTACACACAATACCCCATGATAACAAAGTGAAAACAGGTTTTTAGAAATGTTTGCACATTTATTATTTAAAAACCCCTGAAATGTCACATTTACATAAGTATTCAGACCCTTTACTCAGTACTTTGTTGAAGCACCTTTGGCAGCGATTACAGCCTCAAGTCTTCTTGGGTATGACGCTACAAGCTTGGCACACCTGTATTTGGGGAGTTTCTCCCATTCTTCTCTGTAGATCCTCTCAAGCTCTGTCAGGTTGGATGGGGAGCGTCGCTGCACAGCTATTTTGAGGTCTCTCCAGAGATGTTCAATCTGGTTCAAGTCCGGGCTCTAGCTGGGCCACTCAAGGACATTCAGAGACTTGCCCCGAAGCGACTCCTGCGTTGTCTTGGCTGTGTGCTTAGGGTCGTTGTCCTGTTGTAAGGTGAACCGTCGCCCCAGTCTGAGGTCCTGAGCAATCTGGAGTAGGTTTTCATCAAGGATCTCTCTGTACTTTGCTCCGTTCACCTTTCCCTCGATCCTGACTAGTCTCCCAGTCCCTGCTGCTGAAAAACATCTCCACAGCATGATGCTGCCACCACCATGCTTCACCGTAGGGATGGTGCCAGGTTTCCTCCAGACGTGATGCTTGGCATTCAGGCCAAAGAGTTAAATTATGGTTTCATCAGACCAGAGAATCTTGTTTCTCATGGTCTGAGAGTCTTTAGGTTCCATTTGGCAAACTCCAAGCGGGCTGCCATGTGCCTTTTACTGAGGAGTGGCTTCCGTCTGGCCACTCCACCATAAATTCCTGATTGGTGGAGTGCTGCAGAGATGGTTGTCCTTCTGGAAGGTTCTCCCATCTCCACAGAGGAACTCTGGAGCTCTGTCAGAGTGACCATCGGCTTCTTGGTCACCTCACTGACCAAGGCCCTTCTCCCCCGATTGCTCAGTTTGGGCAGGCAGCCAGCTCTAGGAAGAGTCTTGGTGGTTCCAAACTTCTTCCATTTAAGAATGATGTTCATGGGGACCTTCAATGCTACAGACATTTTTTGGTACCCTTCCACAGATCTGTGCCTCGACACAATCCTGTCTCTGAGCTCTACGAACAATTCCTTCGACCTCATGGCTTGGTTTTTGCTCTGACATGCACTGTCAACTGTTTTTATTTTGAATAAATCTGTTTTCACTTTGTCATTATGGGGTATTGTGTGTAGAATAATGAGTTATTAAAAAAAAATCAATTTTAGAATAAAGCTGTAAAGTAACAAAATGTGGAAAAGTGAAGGGGTCTGAATACTTTCCGAATGCACTGTAGATAAAGCCAGAAGAATAATATACTTTTTGAACATAGCTATAGCCATCAGTCTTGTGTGTTTTCATGGTCATCACTCACTCACTGTTAAATTTGTCAAGGTCCCGACATCAGCATTAGCTATCCTGCTACAGAGGGGTGGAGGTGGGAGACATGTGTGGTTGTCAAGGGGTGGGGGGCAGTCCTCCACTGGGGTTGGGGACACCTCTTGAATCATTTTTTCATGTAAAGCTGGGAATAACAAAAAAAAATGACAATGTTATTCAGTTGTAAACTTCAACTTAAAAGACAACAACCATCTCCACCGGCTCGCCACATCCATTCTGCAAGCCTTCCACAAGTGCTTCATAGAGTCCATCCTGACCTTCAGTAGAACTTCCTGTTTTGGCTCTCTAACCCTCACTAACCACAACAGGCTGGACAGGATAGTGTCAGTGAGAGGATAAATAGTGGTAACCCAGCTACACAGTCTCGAGGTCAACTATGAAAAGTGGGCAACCAAAAAAGGGCAAGAACATCATCTCTGCCCTCTCATCCAGTCTGACCAGTTTGCCATTCTACCATAACAGCCTATGATAAGGTCTCTACCCATGTCAACGAAGATAGGCCTCTCCAGCATTGTGCCGGCATCTATAAGGCTCCAGAATGAGCGGGCAGCTCAGCCTTTCTCCTTGCCACCCTAGCCCTCCTGCCTACACCCCTCTTCAGCTACATTATACTGTCAGGGTCTGACAGTCTCAAACTGAAATACACTTTTTTTAAATAACACACTGCCTCTGAAATCCCACACCCAACCTATCAGGCATCAACACCACTACACTCACCCACTGATGAAACCTCACTTCCCACTCCTCCCATCCAGCCATAGGTACCGGCCCCTTCAGTTATGTGGTTATTTAAAAAATGAACAACTGCTACACTAGTAAGGTAGAATTAAATCAATAAAGACCAATCCCTAACAACTATACCCTACACACATACGCACCTACAACAACAAAATAGACAGAGGGTATACAAAGGTACCTTGTCCTGTGGTGCCCTGTAATCTCTTAAAGGAAATGACAGCTATGCCTTTACTGTGCCATTCTGATTTAAGGACCGACTACCACTTCTTCTGAACTGGCTGGACATAACTACACCAACAGATGTTTAAAACAGAACTCAGACAAATTCAGAATATTGATAAGGTCGTGCATACAGACTCTCTCTCCTTCTCTTTCTCAACCCTCTGGTTGCTGGCCCACTTCTCTGACTTCGAGGCTACCAGGGGGCGGCAGTAGCCTCAAGGTTAGAAAAGCGGGCCAGCGACAGGACGGTTGTCTTTTCGAATCCCAGTGCTGATGGGTGGAGAAAATCTGGCGGGGAGTGAGCCGGCAACCGGAAGGTTGCTGGCATCAATATCTCAGGATCCACCTACTGCCGATGTTCCCTTGAGCAAGGAACTTAACCTCCTAAACTGCTCATTGGGCCCTGCACTGCGGCTGCGCTCTCCTCCCACCTAATGTGTGTTTGTGTGTGTGTGTGTGTGTGTGTGTATGTATGCATGTACGTATGTATGTATGTCAGGGGCGTTGGATGAAACCTGAAGACAAATTTCCATCTTGCGTGGACTAATAAAATATACCTATCTGTCCAAGTTATAAACTCAGCAAAAAAAGAAACATCCCCTTTTCAGGACCCTGTCTTTCAAAGATAATTCGTAAAAATCCAAATAACTTCAAAGATCTTCATTGTAAAGGGTTTAAACACTGTTTCCCATGCTTGTTCAATGAACCATAAACAATTAATGAACATGCACCTGTGGAACGGTCGTTAAGACACTAACAACTTACAGACGGTAGGCAATTAAGGTCACAGTTATGAAAACTTAGGACACTAAAGAGGCCTTTCTACTGAATCTGAAAAACACCAAAAGAAAGATGCCCAGGGTCCCTGCTCATCTGCGTGAATGTGCCTTAGGCATGCTGCAAGGAGGCATGAGGACTGCAGATGTGACCAGGCCAATAAATTGCAATGTCCGTACTGTGAGACGCCTAAGACAGCGCTACAGGGAGACAGGACGGACAGCTGATCATCCTCGCAGTGGCAGACCACGTGTAACAACACCTGCACAGGATCGTTACATCCGAACATCACACCTGCGGGACAGGTACAGGATGGCAACAACAACTGCCCGAGTTACACCAGGAACGCACAATCCCTCCATCAGTGCTCAGACTGTCCGCAATAGGCTGAGAGAGGCTGGACTGAGGGCTTGTAGGCCTGTTGTAAGGCAGGTCCTCACCAGACATCACCGGCAACAACGTCGCCTATGGGCACAAACCCAACGTCGCTGGACCAGACAGGACTGGCAAAAAGTGCTCTTCATTGACATGTCGCGGTTTTGTCTCACCAGGGGTGATGGTCGGATTCGCGTTTATCGTCGAAGGAATGAGCGTTAAACTGAGGCCTGTATTCTGGAGCAGGATCGATTTGGAGGTGGAGGGTCCGTCATAGTCTGGGGCGGTGTGTCACAAACATCATCGGACTGAGCTTGTTGTCATTGCAGGCAATCTCAATGCTGTGCGTTACAGTGAAGACATCCTCCTCCCTCATGTGGTACCCTTCCTGCAGGCTCATCCTGACATGACCCTCCAGCATGACAATGCCACCAGCCATACTGCTCGTTCTGTGCGTGATTTCCTGCAAGACAGGAATGTCAGTGATCTGCCATGGCCAGTGAAGAGCCCGGATCTCAATCCCATTGAGCACGTCTGGGACCTGTTGGATCAGAGGGTGAGGGCTAGGGCCATTCCCCCCCAGAAATGTCTGGGAACTTGCAGGTGCCTTGGTGGAAGAGTGGGGTAACATCTCACAGCAAGAACTGGCAAATCTGGTGCAGTCCATGAGGAGGAGATGCACTGCAGTACTTAATGCAGCTGGTGGCCACACCAGATACTGACTGTTATTTTTGATTTTGACCCCCCCTTTGTTCAGGGACACATTATTCCATTTATGTTAGTCACATGTCTGTGGAACTTGTTCAGTTTATGTCTCAGTTGTTGAATCTTGTTATGTTCATACAAATATTTACACAAGTTTGCTGAAAATAAACGCAGTTGACAGTGAGAGGACATTTCTTTTTTTGCTGAGTTTACATTGTATACCTTTCATGGCTGTGTCAAATATCAATTTAATCTCTTCCACAGTTTTGGCCTGTTGGTCTTTGAAGCCCTGAGGACACATAACGTCAGACCAGCCGATGGAGGGATTGTTAGGGCGTCCCACAAGGATCAAAGTGACCATCCCCAGCTTTTCCAGCTTGTGGATCTGAAACGATTTAAGACAGTAATTTAGTCATCCAACTAGTTAGTACACATACATTTGCCTACACACCTGAATAATTCATAAGGAGGATAGTAAGTATTTCATTATATCTAGCTTACCAGTAAATGGGCAGTATTAAGAACCTTGGCAACATTGTTGCCCTTAAGGGTGTTTCGAGCCCAGTTGTCATTATAGTGATCTTTCTGCGACTCCAGTTTTCTTTTCAATTGCTGTGCTGCCCCACACAAGTCACATTTGCGACGTGCCACCCTGATGTCTCCACCACATGCACAGCACTTTTTGAATGTTGAACCTGGCATCTGAAATGAATAAGAAACAAGATTGGCATTACAATTGTGGAAGAATTGGGAAAATTAGCAAACACACTGCAAATTATGATATGGTAAAATACCGGATTACTATCATTTTACTTGGACAGGTGATGAACACAAAAGTATGGTTACAATATGTCATAATTCAATAACGTCACACCACTTTAAGCCGACTTGAGAGGGGCTTCGTTCTTTATTATATATTATATAAGCATTTTCTATAGCTACATTTAATCTACAATAGGCTACAATATTTACTCTTACATTGGAATGAGTAGGCAGGTCACAGAGAGACAGACCAACAGACGGACAGGAAGAATAACAGACACACAGACAAGTGACAACAGACAGAGGTGGAATGGCAGAGACAGATAGAGGCAGACAGGCAGGCAGACTGACGGACGGAACGACAGACAGACACTAAAGACAGACAGAGAAAACACGCTGACAGACATTATTGAGTATTAGATTGAGAGAGATAGATCAACAGAGAGAGAAAAAAGTAAGAGAGAGAGAATGCTCTTAGAAGAGCCCTTGGGTTGGTTTGTAAAGAGAGAGAGAAGAGCCTTTGGGTTGGTTTGTAAACAAGCAAGCCTAAGCAAGGAAGGAAAGAAGCAATCCACAAACAGAATAGTCTGCAAAGAATTTTTTTGGCTACTGTAACTTGCAGTCAATAAGAATTACAATCTTTAAAATGAATGTACACATAAATCTGACTCTGGGGAAGTAGATGAAGGACATTGTGAAAATCTCAAAGTATCCTTTTAAACACACTTTTCTAACCTGTCCTTAATGTAACTGTAGTGGTGATTACCTATGAAAAGCCACTGGCACAGGAGAGAGCAGTCCATAAGACGTCCACAAGAATCAGCTTTCCCAAACGTTATTCTTTTTGGGTGAAGTTCCCATTTATTGCGCATATAAAATATAAATAGCTCCAATACACATATTCCTATACAAAAGGTGCAGAGAGATGCATTCTATAAGCTGTATCTGTGATAAGGTAAGAACTGTATGCCCTCTCCTCACCTGTGCTAACCCTTCCTGGTCACCTGTGCTACCTACAGTTGAAGTCGGAAGTTTACATACACCTTAGCCAAATACATTTCAACTCAGTTTTTCACAATTCCTGACATTTAATCCTTGTAAAAATTCCCTGTTTTAGGTCAGTTAGGATCACCACTTTATTTTAGTATTAGTATTTCGTAGCATTGTCCTTTAAATTGTTTAATTTGGGTCAAACGTTTCAGGTAGACTTCCACAAGCTTCCCACAATAAGTTGGGTGAATTTTGGCCCATTCCTCCTGACAGAGCTGGTGTAACTGAGTCAGGTTTGTAGGCCTCCTTGCTCGCACACGCTTTTTCAGTTCTGCCCACAAATTTTCTATAGGATTTCTATAGGATTGAGGTCAGGGCTTTGTGATGGCCACTCCAATACCTTGACTTTGTTGTCCTTAAGCCATTTTGCCACAACTTTGGAAGTATGCTTGGGGTCATTGTCCATTTGGAAGACCCATTTGCGACCAAGCTTTAACTTCCTGACTGATGTCTTGAGATGTTGCTTCAATATATCCACATAATTTTCCATCCTCATGATGCCATCTATTTTGTGAAGTGCACCAGTCCCTCCTGCAGCAAAGCACCCCCACAGCATGATGCTGCCACCCCCGTGCTTCACGGTTGGGATGGTGTTCTTCGGCTTGCAAGCAACCCCCTTTTTCCTCCAAACATAATGATGGTCATTATGGCCAAACAGTTCTATTTTTGTTTCATCAGACCAGAGGACATTTCTCCAAAAAGTACGATCTTTGTCCCCATGTGCAGTTGCAAACCGTAGTCTGGCTTTTTTTATGGCGGTTTTGGAGCAGTGGCTTCTTCCTTGCTGAGCGGCCTTTCAGGTTTATGTCGATATAGGACTTGTTTACTGTGGATATAGATACTTTTGTTTCCTCCAGCATCTCCACAAGGTCCTTTGCTGTTGTTCTGGGATTGATTTGCACTTTTCGCACCAGAGTACGTTCATCTCTAGGAGACAGAACGAGTCTCCTTCCTGAGCGGTATGACGGCTGCGTGGTCCCATGGTGTTTATACTTGCGTACTATTGTTTGTACAGATGAACGTGGTACCTTCAGGCGTTTGGAAATTGCTCCCAAGAATGAACCAGACTTGTGGAGGTCTACAATTTATTTTCTGAGGTCTTGGCTGATTTCTTTTGATTTTCCCATGATGTCAAGCAAAGAGGCACTGAGCTTGAAGGTAGGGCTTGAAATACATCCACAAGTACACCTCAAATTGACTCAAATTATGTCAATTAGCCTATCAGAAGCTTCTAAAGCCATGACATCAATTTCTGGAATTTTCCAAGCTGTTTAAAGGCACAGTCAACTTAGTGTATGTAAACTTCTGACCCACTGGAATTGTGATACTGTGAATTAATCTGTCTGTAAACAATTGTTGGAAAAATTACTTGTGTCATACACAAAGTAGATGTCCTAACCGACTTGCCAAAACTATAGTTTGTTAACAAGAAATTTGTGGAGTGGTTGAAAAATGAGTTTTAATGACTCCAACCTATGTGTATGTAAACTTCCGACTTCAACTGTATATACCTAGACGTGACCCATGACCCCAACATATAGTGCCCACTAGTGTACAAAAAAAAAAAAAGCCATGCGGTCGAAGGAATTGTCCGTAGAGCTTAGAGACAGGATTGTGTCGAGGCACAGATATGGGGAAGGGTACCAAAACATTTCTGCAGGATTGAAGGTCCCGAAGAACACAGTGGCCTCCATCACTCTTCAATGGATGAAGTTTGGAACCACCAAGACTCTTCCTAGAGCTGGCCGACTAGCCAAACTGAGCAATTGGGGGAGAAGGGCCTTGGTCAGGGAGGTGACCAAGAACCCGATGGTCACTCTGACAGAGCTCCAGAGTTCCTCTGTGGCGATGAGAGAACCTTCCAGAAGGACAACCATCTCTGCAGCACTCCACCAATCAGGCCTTTATGGTAGTGGCCAAAGGGAAGCCACTCCTCAGTAAAAGGCACATGACAGCCCGCTTGGAGTTTGCTAAAAGGCACCTAAAGGACTCCCAGACCATGAGAAACAAGATTATCTGGTCTGATGAAACCAAGATTGAACTCTTTGGCTTGAATGCCAAGCATTACGTCTGGAGGAAACCTGGCACCATCCCTACGGTGAAGCATGGTGGTGGCAGCATCATGCTGTGGAGATCTTTTTCAGCAGCAGGGACTGGGAGACTAGTCAGGATCGAGGGAAAGGTGAACGGAGCAAAGTACGGAGAGATCCTTGATGAAAACCTACTCCAGAGCGCTCAGGACCTATGACTGGGGCGAAGGTTCACCTTCCAACGGGACAACGATCCTAAGCACACAGCCAAGACAACGCAGGAGTGGCTTCGGGACAAGTCTCTGAATGTCCTTGAGTGGCACAGCCAGAGCCCGGACTTGAACCTGATCGAACATCTCTAGAGAGACCTGAAAATAGCTGTGCAGCGACGCTCCCCATCCAACAGAGCTTGAGAGGATCTGCAGAGAAGAATGGGAGAAACTCCCCAAATACAGGTGTGCCAAGCTTGTAGCGTCATACCCAAGAAGACTCGAGGCTGTAATCGCTGCCAAAGGTGCTTCAACAAAGTACTGAGTAAAAGGTCTGAATACTTATGTAAATGTAATATATTTCTGTTTTTAGTTTTTTATGAATTTGCAAACATTTCTAAAAACCTGTTTTTGTTTTTTCATTATGGGGTATTGTGTGTAGATTGATGTGGGTGGGGGGGAAAAAACAATTTAATCCATTTTAGAATAAGGCTGTAACATAACAAAATGTGGAAAAAGTCAAGGGGTCTGAATACTTTCCGAATGCACTGTATGGTTTAAAAATATATATATTTCCCTTTATTTTCCCATAACCCTACCACCCCTACCCTAATTGGAGTAAACTAATGGACACAGGCTTCTACTTTCAGCTTATATATACATTTTACAGACACAGTATATTTTACATTAGTGATCTTGTTATTTTTTGTCCCACTCTTCAGCTCCACTCAACCCCTCCCATCTATCTCTGAACATCATCCAGTTTTGATTTCTATTTGCCATATATTTTTCAACTGTGCTGTTATGTTTCACAAAAGTTCTGAACCTTTCTATTCTCATAGTTTCTACAGATTGTAAATTAAAGATAAACATTTTTGCTAAGAGTATTATTATATTATTGATCGATTGACTGTGACTTTTTAAAATCACCCAGCAGTTCTATTTGCAGAGTTAGCTCCAGGTAAATGTTGCAATTCTTCAGCCATTCCTGAACCTGCGACCAAAAACAAGCTACATATGGACTGTACCAAAACAAATGATCTAATGATTCTGTCTCTTTGCAGCTAAATCTGCAGAGCTGGGACATCATATTGGTTGCAATAATTTTGTATAATAATTTAAATAGAAAAAACTAAGTTTTGAATCCAGCGTCGTTTTGTGTATCAGTTCATAAACTGTGATTTTCTTAAGTGTGTTGAGACCTTGGTGAATGCCCTATCCTAATAAAACTAGACCAAATGCTGCAACAACCACGAAACCTGGAAGATGCAGTTGCAAGAAATAGCTATCATAGCAATCCTGTCAGGTTAGTGCTACTGAAAGTCATAACATTACTGTATCTATTAAACTTCCTGTCAAAATTGATGTTGGTGTAAAGTAAAAACAATGGCTGCAAAGTTATCCAACAATCGCTTAGTAGTTATGAAAATGCATGCCGACACTAGGCGAATTAAAGCAACATGGACAAGCTATTGTGCACAATTTTGTTACATACCTCGATCGGGAAGGATCGAAGATTATCTATATATACACACACTGACAAGATACTGGACTGACTCGACCGCGCTGACAAAGGGAATAAAATGTCCGCAAAGCCGGAAGACATGATTGGCAGGAGGCAGGAACATTCTAACCAATGAGAGGGCAGATA